AGCTATGTCATTTCTATCCTTGAGTAAACTGTGTGATTTCTATCCTTGAGTAAGCTAAGTCATTTCTATCCTTGAGTAAGCTATGTCATTTCTATCCTTGAGTAAGCTATATCATTTCTATCATTGAGTAAGCTATGTCATTTCTATCATTGAGTAAGCTATGTCATTTCTATCATTGAGTAAGCCATGTCATTTCTATCATTGAGTAAGCTATGTCATTTCTATCATTGAGTAAGCTATGTCATTTCTATCCTTGAGTAAGCTATGTCATTTCTATCCTTGAGTAAGCAATGTAATTTCTACCTTTGAGTAAGCTATGTCATTTCTATCTTTGAGTAAGCTATGCCATTTCTATCATTGAGAAAGCTATGCCATGTTTATCAGTGTGAAAGCTATCATTTCAATGAAAACGTAAGCTGTCATTCGTATTAATGAGACAACTATGCCGTTTTTAATATCATTAAGGCTGTATTTACTGTCAGTGAGAATGCTGAGTGGTGTATATAATTCAGAAAACTGAGACATCACAATCAAAGCGAAAGCACAGTCAGTGAGTAATTTCGATCAGTTAAATATTTGTTATATCTATTAATGCGAAACCTGTCAGAGAGAAAGCTGTATTATTTTCATCAATGAGATTGCTACGTAATTTCGATCAGTGAGGAAGTCATGCCAGTTAAATCAATGAGAGCCACGTCACTTCTATCAGAGAGAAAGCTGTTTCAATTCTACCAATGGCAAAGTTATGCCATTTATATCACAAAGTTGTTTTATTTCTGTCAATGAGAATCGTGTAATGTCGATCGGTGACAAAGTTATGTAATGTCTATCAATGATACGTATGTGTATTAGCGTCACCGCATCTAAACAGCGTGGAAATGAAACCATCATGGAATTATTCATAGTCCGGGGCAATGTCTGTCGTTTTGCAAAAATAATGACTAAACTCTGTGTATATCGGGTCAGGCATAGTATTAATATAACACGCATACTTTGATGTGAAATGTGTGTAACATAAATAATTAACCATTATACTAAATGTCAAGTGGCTAAATTATGTCTGTTGTGTATGCCTATGGCATATACCTAAATGTACTAATCAGTAACTCAGATTGCATAGTAAGTATATGTACAGTAATACTTTTTTAGAACTGTTTTGGAATACATATTAGAATTGTTTAGTTACTAACGAGTAATTCAATCATCAATAATTTGACATGTTATATCCATACAGGCAATATTACTAATAATGACATTTCATACGACATTGATATATTTATGACACACACTGGGATGAGTAATTCTAAATATTCAGCGAACAACCGTATTATGGCGTGTTTATTTGTCAGTGTTTATTTATTTCTTAGTTTGATAAAATGAGAATTGTTCATATCGTACATGGTTGTGTTCACCTGCAGTTAATGAATAATTTTTATGAAGTACGATATACTGAGAAGTTTACATGTCACACGTGGCAGACGATCAGGCGTATTTGATGAACAATTTGTATGATGTGTGAATATTGTCGTGCGAGAATATCATACTTGACATGCATTTAGCTATATTTGACGATTAATTTGAATGCAGTGTGATGTATTGTCGAATGTACATAATGAACACTCAGACAGTCGCCGGAGAATTGCCACCTGTGCAGCTAGGCGTTCATACTTGTGAATGTTCTCGTGTTATACGCCGTTGTACATATATAGTGTCAGCAAATGCAAATGTGGACACGAGCAGTGTCTTGTTAAAATGAGAAATTCTCTGTTTATATTACCAATACAAAGAAGCGTTGTCTTAGATTTCATCTGATGTATCAAATTCTGACGCTAATATTTCGCAGCGTGTTTTACTCAAACATCGCTATCAAAAGCTAATATTTATTTTGCAACAATATTAATTTGATATATGAAGCCATATAGAGTACGATGAAAAACGTGGCACATCCACTGCACTCTCTCTCTCTCTCTCTTTCTTTCTCAACTATTTTGCAGTCGTCACACGAAGTGCATTCAAAATGTGTACACAGCAAACATGAATTATATATTTTTTAAGAAAATGAGTATTTCAGTGTTAATGACTGACGAATATACTCTGCTGTGTAGATACGATCAGACTATTATTTCGAGAGATTATGCCAGCACTTTCTATGTGACTTTTTTGCACCTTAGTCGTAACATGATTGCAGAGATGTAATCCATCTCGAACAAGGTACGTCGCAACGACCCCCGTGACCGGCCTTTAACTTTAATAGTAATTATGCACGTAATCCCCTCTTTCTGCGCTGCAAGATACTTCATATTACAGCTGGTAATACTAAATGTTCAAATGTTCTTCTTTTTTTTTCCACAGGCAAATTAGCCCTGGAATCAGCATAATTTAACAAGGTCGGCGGTCATGTGACGAGGGATGGACGTATCCATGCACGTTGGAACTGACATTCTAGTATTTCTCACAGCAAATAACTCGTCTTTGTACATGACTTGATTTCATATATGGATATAGTTTATGCGTTTGCAGGCGACTCCATGTTTGCCAGTTTATGTATTTGGCTGCTGTTTATAGCCACCGGCATCTCATTTGTGTACACTCAAGGTAAAGCAATTCTTATTTATTCAGTTTATTGATTATTGTGCGGGGAAAATCGATAGTATGAGAAATCGATGGTTTGTGAATTAAGTAGTTAATATATACTAGTTCAGTGTTTGACATTATCCAACAACATATCAACGTGTCATTTTTATAGTGAAATACTAGATAATTTTAGAATATTTTCCCCAAAATCTATTTTGAGTGATTCATAGTAAAACAAATGCTCATTTGTCAAGAGTATAATTCAACTTTACACTAGCAAACTATTATGGGCAGATTTTTAAAAAGATAATATTTTTCTCAGATACAAAATCTCAAAGATTCTATGGTGAGTGTTTACCTTTGTCATTATTGAACTGGCAAACGCCGGGTATATCATAAACATTGTCATTATTATTCCAGTCATCCCGAGTACTATCACTGCATACTTGACATTATTGAACGAAGGTCTCCATGTATATCAATGTAAATCTAATTTGTTCATTGACCAGATCATCACTAATTTTCATCACTGCAACTTGTCATTATAACAGCAAACATCGTAAGCTCCCCGATTGCAGACGTATACCCATGATACAAATGAGATGAACCAGCTACCAGGAACGATTACTCCACATTTCTATTTGGAATTCATTTAGTGTTAATCTGCTATACAGACATAGTTGCTGGTCAAAGACCCCTCTCCACCTTTATTTCCAAACATGACCATTCACAATTAAAGCAATAATAAATACTTTCACACATATCAAATGTTTTAAATGACTACACATATGATAATAACTTGTTTGGTTGAAACTAACTCGTTAATTTCAATTAGTTCACACACTATATTCAATACGTAAAGCAAAGCATTAACAATAGGATTTAACTCAATACGTCTGTTACACCAAGAACCAACGTGGTTTTAAACTCAGCCAGCAATGTAGTAGATATCATAACCAGCAGTCCTACCCATGAAAGGAATTATGGCTGTAACAAAGTTGCTTTGTTAGCTTTACTGATTGGTGGCCTGCAAATTGATAGTATGTGGAATCCACTGAGACACATTTGCCAAAACTCTATCTACATTATAACCCTAGTTCCGATGCCATTACTTGCAATGAGCGTTACACAAACCAACTAAATATAGTAAAAATGTGGTACCTTAAACGTACTACTATCAGTTCATACAACATTCAGGTAGTACATTACCATAAATATACCTACCTATGTCATTGCATTTTAAATTCATAAAATGAACAAGTTATCGTGTATTTTGAAAACAATGTATTCATTGATATTCTGGCCATTGCTCACATAATCGACATTTGTATTTATGTAGTGGGCGAACTATATGATCTTTTCTAGGGAGCTCTAATGCCCCGCAGGTGAAAGTGCAAATAATCAACTTGCATGACTGCATTTAACAATTAGAAGTTGTATACAATTATGAGAAATATATATGAATATATGTAACATCTTGATTAATAATTAGTAAGTACTATCGTTTGTAAAAATGGAAGAATAATCAAGTGAGTTATTCATAGACGTCTGTGAAAGTCAGTCTACTTCACGAATATTACTGTCCAAAACTTACCACCAGCCTGCACCCCGTCTGTGAGAGGTATTCTACTTCACGAATACAACTGTCCAAACCTTACCACCGCATGCACCCCATCTGTGAGAGTTAATCTACTTCACGAATATAACTGTGTCCAAACCTTACCACCAGCCTGCACCCCGTCTGTGAGAGTTAGTCTACTTCACGAAAAAAACTGTCCAAACCTTACCACCAGCCTGCACCCCGTCTGTGAGAGTTAGTCTACTTCACGAATATAACTCTGTCCAAACCTTACTAACAGCCTGCACCCCGTCTGCGAGAGTTAATCTACTTCACGAATATAACTGTCCAAACCTTACCACCAGCCTGCACCCCGTCTGTGAGAGGTAATCTACTTCACGAATACAACTATCCAAACCTTACCACCAGCATGCACCCCGTCTGTGAGAGTTAATCTACTTCACGAATATAACTGTACAAACTTTACCACCAGTCTGCACCCCGTCTGTGAGAGTTAATTTACTTCACG